GCACTTGTTTTCTTATCAGGGGAATTCTTCCTGCTTGAACTGTGTTGCTGCCCCCCGGCTACAGCAACAGCGGTTCTCGCTTGATACCCCCTCAGAGAATATTCCGGGACCGCGCTCTCGCGTGGGACGTCCTCACAATTTATGCAGGAATCTCGCCCTCGCGTGGGACGCCCTCGCAACTTCTTCACGCTTCGCGTATACCCACCAGCGGTTTCGCTCGTAGCCTGGGCTGACTTCGGACGCCGCCTGCGCCTTCGCTTGCGGCCACGACCAAAAGTATCCCCACCAGCCCATTCAGACGCCCTGCCCACGAGAGCTGACGGGAAACGGGACGAAGGGACACATCTAGGGAAAAAATCGAGCAACCAGGATGAACCGAGAGATCTCTGGGAGCAAGGGGGTGTTCTTGGAAGGCCTCTTCGGGCAATCCCAGGGGGCCGCGTGGGTGCGAGGGGAAGAGGAGGAGGAAGAGGAGGAGGTGGAGGGATCCAAAGAGTGTGATCCTTGGTGCTGCTGCTGCTGGTGGTGCTGCTGATGTTGTTGCTGCCTCTGCTGGTGATGCGGCTTGTGCCCTGGAAGGCCTGCTGGGGCCATCTAGAAGAGCATCGATCAAACGATGGGGGTCCTCGATTTCGGCCCCCTCCCATGAGCCCTCAAAATCGCCTCTAGGAGCTCTCCTGGGGCTCTCTGGGAGGGTATTGGAGCTCTCTTGGGGCTCTTTTAGGGGTCTTAGGGCCCTCGTGGGCCCACTTGGGGCTCTCTTGGAGCCCTCTTGGGAGCCCTGGAAGGCCTCCTGGGGCCATCTTGAAGGCCATCGATGAAAGGAGGAGATGGCATAACGTTCAGCCCCCCCCCCAAGAGGCCAACATGGGGCCCAAACCTTAGCAAAACCAGTGATTGTGGCGCCCAGAGGGCTGGTGGGATGACGTTCAGCCCCCCCCCAAAAAGAGGCCAATATGAGGCCAACACCTTAGTAAAACCAATGATTTGGGCGCCCACAGGACTGGTGGGCTAAAGTTCAGTTCCCCCCTCAAAAAAAGTGGCCAAACTTGGGCCAACACCTTAGTGAAACCAACGATTTTGGCTTCCTGGCCGAGGCCGTTTTGGATCCCCCGACACTTCGCGGGCCTCCCCATTTCTGTCCAGGGGAGGGGTAAGGGGAGGGGCAACCCCTCTACGTAGGGGCAGCGTTTTTTTGAGGGGGGGAAGAGGAACAGGGATCTCATTAGACCACCTGCGTCCAGAGGGCTCATTAGACCACCTACGCCGCGCCCTCGACATTCAGGAATGACGCTCTCAATCTGGTATCTCTCTCATGATTTCCTTGGGGATCGCGCCCATCGCTCGAGACGCCCTCGCGATTCATGCAGGACGCACGCTTCAGCAACCCGCCTGCTCGACGTGGCCGCCTGGGCACGCCTTCCCCACCCGCCCGCTAGAGTCTGCCCGCCCGACCTGCCCGTCTGGTTATGCCATTTGTTTTCTGCTTCTTCCCGCCCTCTTGTTCATTTTCCACGTGCTTAAACTCTTCTCCGCTCTTTCCTTCCGTCCCCTCTCTCCTTGTGATAGGAGCTGTGCTAAACACAAGTGGCAGGTAAGGAAAATATGCCTGAAAAGGGGGTACGTTCCAAGACGAAGAGGGCGTGTAGCGAGGGTAGGGGCATACGTGTTGAATGGCACTCGAGCAGATAGGTGCGAGCAGTGTTAAACTGATTGTTGTTGTTGCTGCCGTCGTCCCGCTCGCGACCCAGCCCGCGATCCACCCGCGACCCACCCGCGACCCGCCCGCGACCCGCCCGCGACCAACCCGCGACCCACCCGCGACCCATGCCGCGACCCACTCGCGACCCACCCGCGACCGACCCGCGACCCACACCGCGACCCACCTGCGACCCGCCCGCGACCCACCCCGCGCCCACCGCTTCATTCTTACCCGTACCTGGGGGATTGCTACATGTTGGTCTTTGCTCCTCTACTGGGAATCCACGTCACGAGAAGGTGCGCCGTCGGAGGGGGGGAATGACACCCCCGCATTGCTGCCTCCAGAAGACCGCCCCATCGCGACCTGCCCGCTCCTGCGCGCCGCACTTGGGCCGTGAACCTTTGGTACGTAGCTAGCGACGATAGACATTTCACCAGCGGATGTCAGTAGCCGAAAGAGAAGCAACCGCATAACATATACCTCTTTTCAGAGGTCCGGGTGGATGCCTCGGTGCCGGCGGTGGGCCCCCCCTGGCGGCGCCTCTGGCGCCCGCACTGGCGCGCTGGGCGCGCTAGTGTGGAGGGGGGTCAGACGCCAGCCACGCGGACCTCTGAAAGTTGATACTCGTGCAGGTTCTTCTTCTTTTGCGTGGCCTTTTCACCCGCAGATGCCTGGAGCCACCCAGAGAAGCCCCGACCTCGCCCCGAGGCAAGGGCGCCGCGCAGCGGGGGGCGCCCCGAGCACGGGGAGGCCTCCTCCTCTTCGCTCCTCGCTGCTCGCTCCCTCCACTCTCCAGCCCTCCCTCCCCGCTCCGGCCCTCCCGCCTCCCTCCACCCTCCAGCCCTCCCTCCTCACTGCCTCCTCCCTCCCTCCTCCCTCCACTCCTCCTCCCTCCACTCCCCGTTCCCCTCCCTCCCCGCTCCCCGCTCCCTCCTCGCCGTGCGACCCTCCCCCTCTCCGTGCCTCCCGCTCCCTGCCGCTTCCCCGACCCTCGGGGAGGAGCAGGCGCGCGGCACGGAGCCAGGAAGCACGTGCCGTCGCGGGTCCGTGAGGATGTCGCGGTCGCCCCTGCGTTCCCCCTCCCCCTGGTGAAGGTTTCTACCGCCCGCTCGTCTTCCAGATCGCTCGGGAGGGCGATGGGGGGAGGGCCGAGGCTCGAGGATCGCACACGGCAGCCTCGCGCCGCGTCGGCCAGCGGCGACCCCCGACGCTGGCGTTCGATGCTGAACGCCGCCAGCGACCCCGGTCGGTGTTGAACGTGCTGACGCCCCGGCAGCGGCCGATCGTTCAAGGTTGAAGAATCCCCGCAGTGTCGGGATTCACCGCGGGGGTCGACACGACACGAACCTTGATGGGCCGGTTTTCCACCACCACCACCCTCAGTTGGAGGGCGAAGGGGTCCTCCTCCTCCTCCTCCTCCTCCTTTTCGTCCTCCTCCTCCTCCTCGTCCCCCACCTCCTTCCCCCCTCCAACTTATGGTGGTGGTGGTGGTGGAAAACAGGCACATCAAACCTGCCGTACCTATGTGGTTGGACGTTTGGCCCAGCCTGCGTATCCGGAGGCATCCGCGGAGGGGAGCTCTCCGTGTACCTCCATGGGCTCCGCCGCCTGTCCTCTCGGCCCTCCCCCCCCGCTCGGCCCCCCCCGAAGTCGGGCCTGTCTCTCTACAGGAGGAATGTTCAAAAATAGTCACAGGAAAAGTATGGGGACGATTTTTCGATTATTGCGAATGCCTTACGGCCGGTGCTGCCGACCCTGAATGACGACGACGATGACGGCGAGCGCTCTCGGGGGCCTCTTCGGGGTAGTTTTGGGAACTCTTGGGAAGCTCTTGGGAGCCGCTTGGGAGCCTCGTGGGGGCCTCTCGGGGTTTCCTGGGGGTTTCTTGGGGACCTCTTGGGGCCTCTTGGGGGGCTTCTGAGGGGCCTCTGGGGGCTTCCTTCGAGCTTCTCAGACCGAGGGATCGAAATGTCCGTTCGGGTCCCCCGTCTAGCGTCTTGGGGGCCTCCTCGGCTGTCTTGGAGGCCTCTTGGGCGGTCTTGAGCTCTCTTGCCTGGAGGCCTCTTGAGCCATCTTGGGGCGGTCTTGGAGGCCTCTTGGCTTGTCTCGGAGCGTCGGGAAGCTGACATGGCGAGAATGCTGAAATCTTTCAACAACCGACGGGAAATCTACGTTTTTTACCCCTTGAGGCTGTCTTGGAAGTCCTCTTGGGGGCCTTGGGGCGTTTTGGAGTCCTTTTGAGACGCCTGGAGGTTACTTTGGCGACTTGGACCGATACTTCGGCGATTCGGGGCCCTCGAAGGTCATCTTGGGGACATCTTGGGGAACTTCAGCAGCGTCTTGGGGCTTTCCTGGGGCCCCGAATCGCCTGGGGGGGAGTCGTATCTGCCCGGGGACCCACCCAGGACTACCCCCGGGACCACCCCCCCGGCGGGGAGGGGATCAAATGGAAGGGGCTTCTTTCGACTCAACTACAACGTTGCTCAACTTCGACGAGTCAAACGGAACAGTCTCTTCCACACCCCGACAGGGTCGGCTGATTTCTTTGACAATATTTGAGTATGTTTGGACTATGTTTGATGTTTCGTCCAAAATCCGCCTGTCGGAGAACTGGCCCGACCTAGCCCTCGCTCCCTCGCTCCTCCCTCTTCACGCCCCAGACCCCGCTCATCTCCTTCACTCCTCCTTCCCTCGCCTTTTTCCTCTCCCCTCCCTTTCCCTCGTCGACCCTCTTTCTTATCTATCTGCCTCGTCTCGGCCCCTAGGTCTTCGACCCATGGCGAAGGCCACTACTCGAAGCGGCTAGCCTTTCCGGTGAACGTATCGCGAGGTTCGGACGCGCCAATTAGCGTGTGATTGATTCGGGTCACGGCTCCAAACAGTCAGCGGCGCGCACCGGCAGCACTACCGCGTCCCAAGCCAACAGGCGAGGGCAGCCTGCAGGCAAGGTTGCACGCCCCTCCTGGGGAAACTGGATGGGGGCCAACTTGAGCCAGTGGCAGAGGAAGGGCGATGAGCCAGGGGGTCTGCGCGGCTGAAATCTCCAGCTCGGTCTATTTCCGCACGCGCGCCACCAGGCGCGTGGGCCGCGGCAAATCAGCAAGATAACCCCCCTCCTTTAACGTGGGTCAGATTATCCAGGCCCACGGCCACAACGCGGCGAAGCGTCCACCCCTTCTCATCTTGGCGCGGCCACGGACCGCGCTGGCGATTCTGATTCCCGAGACCCTTCCCCGCCCAATTAGCAGGGGCAAATCGTTGCAGACGCGAGAGCCATGATGATGCTCATGACGGACAATTTGGAAACCACATTCGGGCGGTACCAACCAGACGGCTCCGTTCTGACGAAGTTACTCCCACTTGGAAGGCGTGTTTGGCGGAATGCCACCACTAATTGTAGGCGCTACGCGTATCACCACCAGCCCATCCACAGACGATGCGTAGGGGAGCTGACGGAAAACGAGAAGGAGAGAAACACATCGTGAAACCGAGCGGGCGACATCGGTGAATTGGGAGGTCTTTTGTGGTGAAGGTTGCATGTGTTGCTGCTGGTGCTCTTACTCCTGCTGGTACTGCTTCTGCTGCTGTTGCTGCTGGTGTTGCTGGTTCTCGACCAGCGAATGCCCAGGCGAATAGATGTGATCAGGGAAATGACGGAACACACAGAGTAACCAAGGACTGGGGAACCTGTCTTATCCAAGACGGCGAGGATGGAGGAGGAAGCGGAGGAGGATGAGGAGGGGGGAACTGAAGGAGGAGGAGGGGGAGCGGGAGGAAGGAGGAGGGAGGAGGAGGAGGAATAGGCGGATGAGGTGGAGGAGGAGAAGGAGGAGGAGGATAATAAAGACGAGGAGGGGGAGGATGACGAGGAGGAGGAGGAGGAGGAGGAGGAGGAGGAGGAGGAGGAGAAGGAAATGAGGAATAGCGGAGGAGAGGAGGAGGGGAACGGACGGGGGAGGAGGAGAGGGAAGAAGGGGAGGAGGAAGAGGAGGAGGAGGAGAAAGGGGAGGTGGAGACGGGGATGATGAGGAGGAGGAGGAAGGGGAAGAGGAGGAGGAGGATAATGATGATGATGATGATGATGATTATGATGATGATGATGATGATGATGATGATGATGATGATGATGATGATGATGATGATGATGATGATGATGATGATGATGATGATAAAGTGGAGGAAGAGGAGAAGGAATAGGATGAGGTGGGGAAGGGAATGGAGTGAGGAGGAAAGAGGCGGATGAGATGGAGGAGGGAGACGATGAGGAGGAGGAGGATGAGGAGGAGGAGGAAGACAATTTTGAGTTTGGGGGCCTCTGTGGCCGTCTTGGGGGCTTCTTTGGCGATCCCGGGAGCCTGTTCCGTGCCTCAGGGGGGGGGGCCTCTTGGGGCCGTTTGGGCGTCTCTTGGGAGCTTCATGCAAGCCTTTTGGGCGTCTCTTGGGGCCTCCTGGGCGCTTTTTGGGGTCCTCATAAAGCGCTCTTGTGAGCCTTGGGGGCGCTATTGGGGCCATCTTGGAGGAGATCGATCAAAAAAGGGAGGGGGGTTTAATTAGCACCGCCCCTCGGGAGCCTCTAACATCGCCTCTTGGACCACTTTTGGAGCGCTCTTGGAGCGCTCTCGGGCGCTCTTGCGGCCGTCTTGGGGCTCTCTTGGGCCCCTCTTGGAGCTTTCTTGAGCCATGTTGGAGCCATCTTGAGGCCTCGGATGGCCATCGGAAGCGAAACGGCGAGAAAGCAAACATCATTGGTTTTCCGTAGGTTTTCAAAGGATGTTTGCCTCTTGGAGGCCTCCTTGGAAAGCCATTTGGCCTCTTGGAGCCGTGTTGGGACGGTCTTGGAGCCTCTTGGAGCATCTTCGGAGCCATGTTGAGGTATCTTAGGCTATTTGGATCAATCTTGGAGGTCATGTTAGGCTTTCCGAAGCGCTCTTGGCGCCATCTTGGGCGAAAAGGTACCCTCTGACCGCTCGCGAAACGCCCCATCCAGGTCCAGGGGAGGGGGTTAGGGGGAGGGGTAAACCCCTCCCCGAAGGGGAAGAAGGAGGGGTGGAAGAAGAAACTTTCTAAACCACCTACGCCCAGAGGGCTGGTGGGATTGCCGGCCCCCTTGCCCGCTTCGCCCCTCGCCATGAGTGGCGCAGCGCATGTCCAAGTCAAACAGCGCCCGACCAGCCGCTAGAGCGGGCGTAGACGGATGGGCCACCAAAGGAGGAAAGACGTGAGAGCCCTGAGAGCCATGCAACGAGCGGGGCAACGTTGGAATCCCTCCTCCACATTCCGAACCCTGCTGCTGGCAAGGGAAAGGAGGATTGCCCGGTGGCCATCATCTGCCCTCAGGCGTATCTCTATGGATGTGCGCGCGGGAAGTGCCGACTTATCTCAGCTGCGCGTCATGGAGAACCCACTGGACCTACCCGGCAAGTTCCGGCGCGATAACCCACGCCACTATCGCAGACGTCAGCGCCACGTTGGCGTTGCAGGCCGAACAAGCGCGACACCTCCAGGTGCCCCAGGCTGGATCTGCACCCGACGTGCGAAATCGTTGCAACTGCCTCGTCGCGGACATCTGCCTCCATGTGGCGCTGCACGCCTGGAGCGATTGCAGCAGGCCTTCGTTCCGATCGCTTCTCTCGGTGCCATTTTCTACGGCAGCGTCCATGTGCAGTTTAAAGCTTACGGGTGGCACACCAGTGCTAGTCTCTCCTCCGTCGGGTGCGCGGCACGAGCAGCTGGCGTCAGTGTCGCGGCCTTTGCGCTGGGCCGTTGCGGGGAATGTCCTAGGGTGGCGCCAGAAGCCG